AGTGCCAAATACTAAGTAATGTTTTCTCTGTTAGGTGCTGGTTTGATATTGCAAAGGGTTCCACTGAAACATGGATAACGTAACATGAAAGCGTTTTTTTGCATTCTGGGTAGGGTGGTTTTTGCAAATGGGGGTTTTTCCTTGTTTTGGGTGATGATGGGGTAGGGCGTGTTTTGTGAAGGGTTGGGTATTTGTGTACTTGGAAGTTATGTGTGTGCACTAGGACTGATGTGGTTACTTTTCTATCGACCTACAAAGGTACCTGGGGATACTCAGGCGGAAGGATAATGGTGTCCATGTTTGAATGTTGTTGATTCAAGTAGCGTAGGGAGGAAAAAGGGCAGACATCACGAAGTGCGGCGATCCTCTTTCCATGGTAACTGAATACCAGCTCCGAGAGGGACGTCACTTGTTATCGCCAGACCCATTTTCGACATTCCTGATGATGCGAGGAGCAATGACATATTTAGATTAACCTTTTCGGGATTACATCGGTGGCTTGATATATGGAATCCAGGTAAGGATTGTTGAGCTCTCGGACGAGTCAGCTATCAAAATCTCCCCGTGTGTCCATGCTTGAGGCGGCCATAAGTATGCAGGGGATAGATATGGGGAGCCCATGATAACTGACGTTTAGGGGACTATGTTTTGTTATCGAGTAGACTAATGGATTTCCATTGATATTGATAGAGTGCTAGCAACTAAGCACGCACAAGCGTCTTCCCTTGCGGACTTAGCGTTGCAATGGGCTGCCACAGGTTCACGATGATTATACGGCCAAACCCGAAGTAAATTGGGCAACGGAACCGGACTATTGAGTAAATCCTCCGGGCCGTGCTTTCATCTATCTGTTCCATAGCACCGTAGATCGGTTGTGTCGAAGGGTCTCACTTTGATGGTAAGAACGTTCTAGAAAACTCAGAGATCTGCGTATAGGTGGATAATCTCCTATCTACGCCAATATATGTCATCCTTGGCTGTTGAGCACGCGGCCATGACTGCAGATATCGTCCCGCGACGCGTAAATCAAACAGGCTGTGTCCACGGTGCTCAGGAGAGAACCGTAACTAGTCCAGGGCCAGCATTGAATCCAGGACCTAAATGGAACTAGAAAAATATCATAATCCACAGTTGCGATGACGGGATAGCACCTCATTTAACGCACCCACGCTAACGCGTCTACGGTGGAACTATACGGTCAAGCTCAACGCATTGTTTGGATTGAGTTCTGTGGTGAAAAGCTTCAAGCATAGTCCAAGTGGGTAAAACCCACTTCGAGAGTGGAATCACTGTGTTGTTCAGGAGCTCATGGAAGCTATACATACTCTGCGGAGGCTTGATGTGAGTTGGTCTCCCAAGTTGCCACGGAGGCTCCGGGCTTGATACATTGTAGATCCAAAGTTCAAGGCTGAGGGCCCGGGTTTGAGACCGTTCTTCTTGCAGAAATGATATACTGGCGGAAGTCCGGACCAAACTCCGCCGAACAGAGGTTCAGCATGGGCAGGAAAGGTCGGACCGCAAACTCAGGTTTACGTGGTTGAAGGACCCTTGATAGCAGGTGCGCTTGAACTTTGTACCCCATAGGTGAGAACGGGACCTGAGCGGACGTCTATCATATCCCGTAGCGGAATAGGACCCTTTTTTTTCACAGTGGGTTTGTTTGGCGGGCTTGTCGTGGACAAGGAAAAATGGGTCGTCCCCGTAACGTATCCAGTGGAACGGTCAATGGGGACGAAAGAAACAGGGAAAGCGCCGTCGACCGACGGAGGATGTTGATCAGGGGGGCTGGGATTTTAATATTCGTTTCCGTTCGAGAATCGAGTATAGACTTACTGACGTAAACCAGTGCAATGCTAGTCTACTTTGTGGGACGGTATGCATGGCATGTGCACATCTTACTCATAGATGTGACAAAGGGTCTGCGGTCCTACATGGGCAGAATTGTACTCCAGAAAGTGCCTCCCCCTCGTACGGCCCTTTAACCTGGAGGAAATTTTTCTACTTCGGATTGCTAAAAAGACCAACTGTGTACGGATAGCGTGACAGGTGCCAAGGCCGGCGTTCAAGCTTAATTACTCGGCAATAGTAGTGGCCACTTGGAGGGGGAAGTCAATGCCGATCGTCATCCCAGGGACGATTCCTTCGTCTGGATACGGGTCCTAATTCTCCAACTAAAGAAAGACGGGTATCTTCGAGTGAAAAAACAAAAAGAAGATTTGCAAAATCGAGGGCGCCAGGTACGGTGCCCCATAGGTGGCAATACTTCGTAAACAACCATGGACAAGTTTCCATAAATATCAGACTTGCGTCGACATCTTTGGTACACGCGTCCGTAGTTTGTGCCCTTGATTCAATACATATGATTGGATCGCGTTGTCGAAAGTTTAGGAGGAGTAGTGCGATTGGAAGTGTTGATCCCGATCCACCAGAACCACCAGGTAACTTTCAGGTACCCAGCACCAAGCGACCTCAGCTTACATCCAATTAGGCGACCAAGTCGAGGCCACGAATTGCCACGGCGGACGTTCTTCTCAGCTGGTTGCATGTATATGCTTTTGTCAAGCTGCTGACGATTGCTTGTGCAGTGCTTCTCTCCCTCTTACCTGGAACTGTGGGTTCCATTCTGCAAAAAATAGTAACAGAGATGGCAGTGCATTCAGGGACAAAAATCTCCTGAATTCTAATCTGTATGGTCAAAGTATGGCATACGGACAATACTCGAGTTTATGTTAACCGCAACCGAGTCAAGCACGGACGGTGAGCTCTGTACAGAATAGTACCCTGTTACAGACGTAACGAAACCACACGATATGAATAATAATAATAATAATATACTCTGAGTAAGGACAAGAGCTTTAGATACGACTCGAATACCCTCTCCGACTCAGAAATACTGAGTAATAGGGGGAAAACAACATGTGGTGGTGGGAGGGACACGCGGCCCGTGGGGCTCCGAGAGGCAGCGCCCCCTAAATGGTTGCCCCTGAGTGGCTGGAAGGGCGGGAAACCACTCAGATCGACGCCTCTTTTTATTTTCTTCAAGGACTTGTTTGCCTGGGTATTCGTACCAGATGTCGACGAGTTGAGTTGAGTACGTAGTACTGTCGACACATACACGCAGAATCATCAATTGGGCAAACCTTGGGAAATTTTCATCAGGATATTTCTCCGTATTTTACAATTTGTTTATTTTACAATTTGCAAGGAAGACTACACAATAGTCCCAAAGAAATCAAAAGGAAAAAAAAAGATAAGAACAAACAGTGGAACATTCCCAGAATCTTTCACGCCATGGACCATTCCTAATGGAGTACAATGGTGGATTGTCCGTCCGTCGACTGGGTCCGACGAGTCCCACTTCGTCAAGAATAGCAGAGATTGTGTGTAATTAGCAAGAAACGAGCGGTTACAGAAATCTGTAACACTCGATGTCCTTGTTTGAAGTTGATGAAGGAAACGTTGATCGGCCGTTAGGACCCTGAACAGGAGATGCGAAGAACGGAGAAAACACTTCCCGATGGACGATGCGATTATAAAACGCGTATGCTACTCTTTCAGGAAGAATCTTTATGGGTGGGATAATACACGATCAGTTTGACCGGATTCACCATAGATTCACCATGAAGTCGGAGTTATTCCTCTTGCACTTCCTGATGTTATTCTTTGTTGAAATCAAATGGCTTTCGGAGAGACTTGGTGCGTGAGAGATGCAGATAGATGTATGTACTATGTAGTACCCTTACAGAAACATCGGAGATATTGAATTTGAAGATATACACACTTAATAACCTGAGAGCAGATGTATTGACTATACCTATAGAAAAGTGTAAGCGTTTACTCCGTAGGACAGAATTCCTTTCAGCACTGGCAATCGTAATTGTGATATCTATATTATCATATTAATTCCATCATAAACCTTGAGAGGGTTCTGCTTTGGAGGGTTTGTTTGAAATCCGAAATTGAAAATTACCAACCACCCGCTGGTGGAGAGAGGCGATCCATCCATCTGAGCGGCATTCTTCCCTTCTGTCAGGGATCTACATCAAAACAGTCCACTACTCTTCTGAGCATGTACCAGTACTGAGGAAGGGCTAACAGGGTTTTCAAAAAAAAAAAAAAAAAGGCGGACTAAAGTTACAGAAAATGCGGGAGGCGTCAACAAGGCGAAGGAAGCATAATCAACATCTTATAACTTGGAATTCCTCATTATTGCCCTCTGGCTTTATTTCCATCTCTCTGCTTAACCAATTTTTCTTCCTCTTCTCAACCCTCTCCAAACCCGACCTCGAGATTAAGGTCGGTTTCTCGGCCATCGATACATCTGAAACCTCTTTAAAGTGCAGTGGAAAATTACAGCGGAGTTGAGCTTAATATTTTGCAGATTAAATTACCCAGTGGAGGAGCTTAGGCCCCATTTCAACCCGTGGTCCATTATTCGGCATTCCCACTTAGGAACACTTTCTCTCCTGTCTTCATCCTTCCCTCATCCGTCCTCTTCATACTTCCTCCCCCCCTCCTCCTCTCTTCCATCTCTTCTTCTTTTCTCCTTCTCACCCCTCAAAGGCTCGACACAAGACCTCTTTCCTCCTCCAAGTTCGATTGTTTCTCTAAGCCCTGGCCTCGTGGTCCAGTTGTGCTGTTCTTCTTGCTGTCGGCCTCTATACTTCCCTTCGGCTTCTGTTTCCCCATCGCGACGGGGAGACCCGAATAATTTCACCGGGCCTTTCAACCCGAACTACCTCCTTTTTGTGACCGTGTCGCAGGTCTCGACGCTGCCAGACTTTCGTTGTCAATTCCTCTAGGCTGTGGAAATTTTTCTATATAAAATTTCTATTCGCCATTTACGCTCTTTTCATCCGCCGTCGAATCTCGGCTGATTTCTCTGGTGACATTTGTGCGATAGCGGACCCGATAGACGACGACTTTATTCCGTCGATGTCCCTTTGATACAACCAGTGATATAATACACTTGCTGTCGACCAGTTTCTACAATCGTTTTCATGCTTAAGAACAACTCCTTTAATAATTCGCCCAAGATGCCGATTTTCCGCACGAGGACCGTCTTTCCTCTCGTCGCCCTATTTTCAATAGGCTTCTTCTTTTGGTGCATTGAACGTTATGATCGTGCAGCGTTCCTTCGATTCAAGCACCCCGTCGACCGGGTGACTACGTCGGCCGGTACTCCCCAGATTCAGCTACAACCATCATCAGCCCCGACGGCGAAAATGTGCGATGCGGACCCTAGTGTTATGCCCCCCATGCCTTTCACTGAGTGGCTGCCTCGCAAGAACTATACCCGCGCGTACTTCCGTCCTCACCACGTGAGCCCTAAGACTGAATTCAGCTCGCTGGAGGAAGTTGATGTCCCTGTCCTCCCGCCCATGACTGTCATGGAGCGTGGCATGGTTATCTCTCCGGACAACAAGGACGACGACATTTCCTGCCCTCCCATCATCGATGTTAATGTAGCGGCCGACCATGATGTTGATGAGACGGACAAGCTTCTGTTTGGTTTGGCCACGACTGCTGACCGTTTGGACCGCTTGCTTCCTTCCCTCCTCTACTCCTACGGAAACACCAAGGCTGGTATTATCGTGTTGGTACCGGAATCCGACGACGACATTCCCAAGCAAGAGACCTACTTCCGTAACCGTGGCCTGGACTTGACACTTATTCAGTCTCCTCTCGATTTCACTGCTCGTTATTTCGGCTTGGTTGAGGCGTTCGCCAAACACATTCGTACCAAGCGCCCCCAGACCCAGTGGGTTAGCTTCATCGACGACGATACTTTCTTCTTGTCCCTTCCCACTGTCGCTGAGGAGCTGAAGCTTTTCGATGTGACCAAGAAGCATTACATCGGCTCGCTGTCGGAGGCCCACTGGCAGGTTGACACCTTTGGCCACATTGCCTTCGGCGGTGCCGGTGTTTTCGTATCTAAGCCTCTCCTGGACGTTCTCGAAACATACTACGACGAATGCCAGTCTTGGGGTGAACAGCCTGGAGACCAGAAGCTCGGACAGTGCATCCAGAGATACGGAGATACCCCCCTTACCCTGTGGCCCTCTCTTTACCAGATGGACATGAAGGGTGAGGTTGACGGCGTGTACGAGTCGGGCCGGAAGATTGAGTCCCTCCACCACTGGAACAGCTGGTACACGAAGGACGTTGTCAAGATGACGACTGTGGCAGCTGCCGCCGGTCGCCGGTCAGTGCTCCGTCGCTGGGTGTTCGACCAGGAAGAGATTGTCAACAACTCCACCGGAAAGAGCACTCGTACATTCTGGGTCATGACCAATGGATACTCTCTTGTCAAGTACACCTATGGCGAGAACACTCCTGATGATGCCATTGACTTCGACCATACGGAGAAGACTTGGGAAGAGGACCCTCGTGGGTACGAAGAGCGCCTGGGACCTCTTCGTCCTAAGGACCACGAGGGTGTCCTCAAGGACCGTTGGCTCCTGAAGGAAGCTTACGTTGTGGGTGACAATGTGCACCAGTGGTACGTGCGTGAAGAGGATGAAGGCCACAGTGTCATTGAGATCGTTTGGCTTGGACCCAAGGGTGGGGGCGGTGCCGGTATCAATGACTACAATGTCAGGAAACATCACTGATCTTTTGGTCTACGGATCGAATGAGAAACCACACAACCGATACTGAGGCTGGACCTTAGATCCGTGGAGTCTTTCCGTTCTTGCACATTATTTTCATCTTTGTTATGTTCGCTCTCTTCTTCTTTATTTCGAGTTCTAATTCCTGTCATACCACCAAGAACGGAAGAGCACTACCCATTTACGAGATAAGGAAACAAAAAAGGTTTTATACTGAAGGGTGGTCCGGAGCGTACCTCTTTCGCCAACTGAATCCTTCGACATCCCTATTTTTGATTGTTCATTTGCCTGGCGTTGAATCGGCGCAGTCAAAGATCGGAACTGGTGGTTTTTCAGCGAAGAGCTTATCTCGCTTTGAGTCCCTTGATTATCTGGCCATACTCCTTCTTTTCCAGAGGAACTTCACGAGTGAACATTTCTTCCCATCCTTTTCCCTTTTCTTTTTTTTTGTTTTCACACTCCCTTTCAGGAGGCTTTTTTTTTCCCTGATGCATTTTGTAAAAATAGAATTCCGGGCCGTTTCCGGGCCCCTTGCTCTTGGAAATTAGCGCATCTGTGATTATGCAAGAATATCATGAGTCAAGTTCTAGATAGAGATTACCACCCAATATTCATTAAGCTCCTCGCTAATCACTAGAATCTGCCATCTATATCTCCGTGGGATCAACGACGCGCGGTCCCGTTTCAAGTAACCGTTTCACATTAAGTAACCCAATCCAAGAACCATCATCCAACAATCCGCCCACGGACCAATCCCCCCCACCAAGAGAGCACAAGCACAACGTCCTCATTGCACAAAAATTCCTACAATAAATCCTAATCAAACTACAGGAGTACATAATTTCCCAACAAACAAAGAAATAGTCAAGAAAATTGGGCCCTTCCCGCTCTAATTAATCTCTTTGATGCTGAGCTGTACTACCTGACTCTGCCCAGCTCATCTCGGATAGTGGATGTATTCCACTATTAACTCATGTATACGCATCTTCCCAAACCGGATAGAGTTGGTGACCGCTACATGAGATCATACTTATGGTACCAATCCTACTGAAACGATACGGTGGTTTCGGACTGAGGTTGCTGGTCAGCCATGGTGCTTGGTTGGTGAGGTAGGTGGTGGTGGTGGCTAGCTAGTGGGTTACTGCCTTAGGTATCTTTTGTAGGGTTTGAGGGTGTGCTCTAAATAGCTAGGCTGTATGCAGTAGTAGGTGATACTAGTAGTATCTTGGGAGCTGGAGCAGTGTGGCGTTGTTCACTTGGGTCAATTAGTATGGAGACGTGTTTATGTATATGTGATGTTCCTGTAAGAAGGTATATACTATATATACTATATATA